TATACCGCGTACCTTGCATGTCCTGCCATATGTCCATGCAGCGAGCTCATGTTGATCTGTGGAACCGCCGCTCCTTTACATCGCCCAGATGGGTGTAGGTGGCGACGATGAGCCCCATAAGGAGCACGTGAGAAATAACGGGCCCGACGGAGAGACGGCGTGTCTCGAGGACGGAAGCTGGGTCGAGCTGCTTGAGACGTTGAAAGGTCCAATTCGGAAGAGTTGGCGGGTTAGGGGGTTGAATAATCTATATATATACGGAGTAGAGGGGGAGAGAGTAGGAGATACAAGAGATTAGATGTAAGAATCAGGTAAATGCAATAAAACAAAATGTAACTTAAGATACACATGTAAAAGGAAAAAAAAAAAGGAGAATACTGCCCTCAGAAGACGCTTTACTCGGCATGGTTAGGCAGGTGGATATGGTGGTATTCGAGCACACTCGCGTGGTTAAGGGGATGTTGTACATATGTATTCGCCGCACGTCAGCTCGACCCGGTAATCTCGCTGATAGACCTGGCGCCACTCAAGTTCACTACTCGTCCGCCACCTCCTTGAATCACCCCTGGAGCCCTACGACTACCGCCAGAGCCCTGGGGTTTGACCCATCCAGGAATCTGGCCATCTTCGCGTTCTCGTGCATAGATTGTCTGCCATACGTTTGGAAAACCAGTAGGAAGGGCTCCCTTCAGTCGAGCTCCGGGAATGGCGTACCGTGGGTTCTTGTGAGTGAGATAGCCCCGCATCAGGTCCTGGGTAAGCAGGGAGGCGAGAACATTCTCGAGTTCTTGCATTAGCGGGGAGGAAGCGATTTCTGCTCCTTCGCTGCCGGTAATAGCAGGCTGTTGGTGTTCTTTTTCTGCTTCTGCTGCTTCTTCTTCTTCTGGAATAAGCGTCGAGTATGGATCAGGGACCCCTGACATATCATCAATCATCCCGTCAACCGGGCGATCGTCAGGGCTGTTGACATTGACATGCTGACCGGTGTGGTCAAAGTACCAGTCGGGACGGTTATAGTCGTCAAATGTAGAGTCATCTGCCATCTCGGAGGGGGTGTTATTTTCTGGGATAAAGTCAGGATCTAATGGAAAAGAGGTAAGCTGCACACCGGCTTGTCTGGTTTGCGGTGACATTAGTAGCAAATGTGGATCATGTCGTGCACGGCTGTCGAGCCAGCGAACAGCAGCTTCGAGTTTTTGGAGGTAGAGAAAAGGAGGCGGTCCTCGCTGGGTCTGCATCTTCTGGTCTCCATGAAAGCCTGCGAGAATAAACACTTTTCGTGTAAGTGACCGCCATACCAGGATCTCACATCGATTCCGAAGAGGGAGTAAGAGTCCCTTTCTGGCTAACCATTCGGAAGACGGCGAGCTGACCGACAGATAATCTCTGAAAGCATGTATCTCTCCCTTGGCAATATACCGGCAGAGAGGTATAAATCTATCTCCTAGTCCTTCGGCTTCTGGCCTCTGGAGGAGCGTTCGGGATGGGAAACGGCCAAGGATGATATTACACGGTATAAGATACGTGAGGATTAGACCTCTCTGCTTCAGCGCCTGCCGGTGGCATTGATTGTATGCCGCCTCAAGGACGATCATGGCGGGGTAGAATAAATTGTTGGATAAGAGATATCGCCCAAGGTAGTAGAGATAGGTTACCCTTTGCGAAGCAGGAAAGTATTCCAAGGGTGGTGACTGTGAGTTGATGCTTGCAAACATTTGCTCCGCATTACGCAGCTTCCCGCACTAAATACAGTTCTCACGTTAGCAGCCTGATGAGCCCAGATTACGTTGGCCATGATATGTACCTTGAATAGGAGCTTGAGACACAGATTCGCCATCAAATATATCCCTGTTCTTTTTCCTTCTGGTTTTGCGTGGATGCCTGAGGTACCGCTTCTGTCGGTTAGGCATTTGATAAACGCTTCTCGAACGATATTTGTCGACTTTTCCACTAGCGTCACTTTCTCCCCAGTCTCGCCCTGCCCCGACTCTCCTCCTTCGTCCCTGAGGAGGTGTGCTATCAGCTCTGGCTGGCGGTCAAGCCCGATTGCAAGTTTCGAGAGCACCTTGCTAAGGTAAAAGACGGTTGGCAGGATAACAACGCCCATCTGGCTATCACCGAGAGCAATCACGCTCTGGCTGCAGTTAAAGTATTAGAATGTATCAGTAAGAGCAGAGCTGGTGTAAGAACAGTATCTAACCTACTTTAGCAAACCTTTGAGCAGGTTGTATGTTTCTAGAAGGTTGTCCACATTGACATCTCTCAAGAATGTTAAGTATAGACGCATGAAGGGAGGGAATGCGGGCCAGGAACTGCCTAGCTGCCCTCCCGCCGTCAGGCTTTCACATTTTGACAGTAATTCTGCATCTTTATCGTCTCCAGCCGGGTATCTTTGCTGCAATTCTGTCGTCATCTGGTTGTAAATGGCAGACAAGGGGGGCTCAAGCTGCAGGAAGTCCTGGAGCTTGGTGCCATCACGGCTCTGCAAAAGACCTCCAATGCTGTCGAGGAAGTTATTGAGGACAGGCGTATCGACGGAAGTGGTATTCCACATTGTTGCTTCGGCTTTTACTCGGTATTTCGCTTCGCCGTTTGGTCAAAGTTTTTGGTGAGCCAGGTGCGTTATGCTGATTAAACTGGTATCTGGCGGAGCGAGATTTAGGCTGCGTAAATATCATCCTGAAGGTAGCATCGTCTCAGCAGTAGTGGCTTGTCCGCAATGGGCCGTAATCCTCAGCTATTGAGTATCGGTTCACTCCTCCGTGCGGAAACGAGTCTAAACGATGGGTGGTTAACGAGCGGAGGCAGGGTTTTCCAGCTACTGCGCTGCCGTAAGGAGGCCGGCCCAACCTGGAAATTGGTAATAAATCACTTACTCCGTTGACTAACCCTTCGCTAGCGGGTAAGTAGGTTAGCTGGCTCCCTCCGTGTGTTGTCAGTTCGTCGGTGCTGTTGGCTGTTGCTTGTGTTTATCCTGTTTTTAAGCCGCATGGGAGGAGTTGATGGAGGAATAAACTTTCAGAAGGCAGGTTTCATTGGATGGATGTTGGGAATTTCTGGCAAATAATATCATTTGGAAGTTTTTTTATTCAGCCAATGATAAAAATTGGAAGAGTATCGTCCAATAATATAAAGTTAACTTTTTTATTGGACAGCACACTCTCGCTGTTGACTACCGATCTCATTCTCCCTCAGGGGAGTTTCTTTTGATATCACCATCTATGCCAGGCCGAGTCATATCAACACTCAATTCAGACTACCTTCTTCATCTATGAATGTTACATTGCGATAATAGAAAGATGCGTCATGGTTTCCTGTAGTTATGTATCAGTTTATAGAGTTTCATCATATCTGCAAAACATGAATGGGCTTGAGGTCCATCACTTTCATTTCCTTTCCAGTCTAAGTTGCCAAATCCCTTAACTTGCGTTGAACGAAGGCATCCATTTCCTTACGCTCGTCGTCGGTGAGCTGGATTCTATTCTCAAGCAAGGCTATTCTCTGCTCGTGTGGTTGTTCTCCACCAAATATCGCCCGGTCGATGAAGGGCCAAACGATATCTAGAGCCCAGCTTTTCCGTAAACCGTAATTGATCCAGAAAGCACCAGTGCTCCAGTTATTATACATCCTTTCAGAGAGCCGCTCCCTATCAGATAATCGCCCATCACGGATTGCGATATCTTCCTGCCGCGTCATCGCTCGAAGGAAGACTTTAAGCCGTGAGTCGTAAGTTACAGCCCAGTCTAATATGCCTGAAGGCCAGTCTTCTGGTGTTTCCAAAAGTAGCCACCATGGAGGACTATACGTGAATTCAGAGGGCGCAGTATATGTGAATTCCCAGTCAATCACGGCGACGACCTTGGAGTTCTCGTCGATAAGTACGTTCGTTGGCCGGAGGTCATCACAGAAAAGTCTGTATTTATTGTGGTCGATGGTATCCTGGCCCATGAGTTTTGACTGTTCTGCGAGCTTAAGTACTATCTTTCTGATGGTGTATTTACGGCGGCAATCCTCCTCCGAGCAGATGGCATCGTTACGTTGTGTTGATAGATGTGTATATTGAGTCTCAGCAAGGTTCTTTAAATAATCGGATGCAGATGTAAAAGGAGACGATGGTAGCAAATCCTTGGGATAACCACCGAGTTGGACAAGCTCGTTCATATTCATTGTCAATGGACGTTTTGTGACAGCCCAGCCGCCGGGCCCAGCAGCTAGGCAGCCAATCTTGTTGAAAGAACACCTCGACAGTTGTAACGTAATGTCAGCCATTTGACCATACAAAAGCTCTAGCTTTGATTCATTGATATCGGGGTCGAGCACAGGACGGTCCTCTCTGGCATAGCCAGGTTTTCTTAGCTTTGCCGTAAGGTTGGAAGCGCTGCTGACGAACTCCATCAGGATATACGGGCCCATATCACAGGGTCCTTCCATGCCCCAGTCAAAGATAGTTGGAATAGGGATATCAGTATTGTCCTTGAGGTAGAGCATGATAGCAACCTCCGCTTGGGTCTTTTCCTCTGGGAACATACTACGCCCAGGGGACGCGAAGCGTAAAAGGGAGGATGTTCCATTACCAAACTCCATACGATAACAGAAGTTGAAGGCGCCAACGCCTATTATACGGGCACGGTCATTCGGTTGAGACACGGGGTATTTAGCTGCCATAAATTCAGTGACAGCTCGCAGAACATCCGGGCTTGAGGCCTTTTTCTTGAAGCTATCAAAGATCGTGTCACTGCGTTCCCAAGCCGAATCATCGTATGCCATTTCCATTTTTGTGGCTATAGCGCAATATAAACGTAGGTTCTGACTGAAGAGATTGTTCTTCAGCTATTTTCTGGATCTGATCTCACGCGAATGCAGCAGACTGATCAAGTATTTATAACCATTACTGATGATATCAATCTCAGCCGTCGTTAGATAAAAGTAAACTCATCACGCTAGTTAGTTATCACCCCTGTCTCACTTAAACCAACCTCTTCTTCTTTTGAATGCCCAGCATGGCTAATATCATGAGATGGGCTACAAAGGCGCTTCGAAAACCTCCCTTAGTTCCCATTATTTTTCCTACTGGCGGTTTCGAGACCGTTCCTCCCTCGGTGGTGCTTGAAGAGGAACGTTTTAAGCAATTCAAACAGGGACAATATTATCCTGCTAACATCGGCGACGTGCTTACTTCCAGATACCAGGTTATCGGTAAACTTGGTTTTGGGACTACTTCGACTGTATGGCTGGCTCGCGATCTTGAGTAAGTCATTGCATGTCTACTTATCGTAATCCAACACTGACCTACTGAAACAACCAGAGGTCATAGATATGTGACACTCAAAATCTACACTCTCGGCGAAGATAACCAGGAAGAGTTTCAGATCTATAAGAAACTAAACCAAGGGAGTTCACGGCACCCTGGTCATGCTCATATCAGAAAAGCACTAGATATCTTCACAATCTTCTCATCATGTGGTAGCCATTCGTGCCTTGTTCAGAAGCCAATGTGGGAGAGCTTCAGGGACCTCCTTTATCGAAATCCTAATCATCGATTTACTGAAGATCTCCTCAAATCTGGTCTTATGCAAATATTTCTTGCACTTGACTACTTACACACAGAATGCAAGCTTGTCCATACAGGTAAGAGTTATCCTCGAGGCTTTGTCAAAATAAGCTATCCTAACCTGCATTCCTTTAGACATTAAAAGCGATAACATTCTCCAGGAAATAGAAGACAAGTCCATTCTTGAAAGTTTTACCCAAGCTGAGCTGAAGAGTCCTTCACCCCGCAAAATCGTCAATGGTTTGCCAATTTACACGTCACGCCGTTTTGACTTGCCGAAGGTATTTGGCCGAGCTGTTTTAAGTGATTTTGGCTCTGCTGTACGAGGAGATGAGAAAAGGAACCACGATGCACAGCCAAATGTTTATAGGTGCCCGGAAGTCATGCTGAAGACTGATTGGAGCTATCCGGTCGATATATGGAATGTTGGTGCCATGGTATGCTTTGCCTATTTCTTCCTCTCCCTCATCATCAGTACTAATCACTTTGGAAAAATAGGTGTGGGATTTGCTTGAGGGGAGACATCTTTTCTACGGAAATGACCCTGATGGCAAAGGGTATTCGACCCGGGCACATCTTGCAGAAGTTATGGGTTTTCTAGGGCCACCACCTTTAGATATGCTCCAACGTGGGAAACGAAGCCATGAGTTCTTTACAAGCGATGGTAAGTATTAACTAAGTATTTTCTCGCTCAGTGCACCTGGTGGAAAACTTACGAAGACAACCTTACAGGGAAATGGAAACAGGACCTAGAAATTCCGACGGGGGTCAGTCTAGAGCTGTCGGAAGAGTTTCTCGACGGAAAAAGTAAGGAGATGTTTATAGCTTTCATGAGAGGGATGCTTCAGTGGCGACCTGAAGATAGGAAAACAGCGAAGGAACTACTGCAGGATCCGTGGCTGAATAGCTAACTGTTAGTTATCAGAGAAGTGTTGGTTCTTTTCTCCGTTGCTAATACTAGAACCTGCTCCATTAGTTAACTAGTTATCTGGTGAACTAGTTAGATTTATACGTTCTGCCATTCTAAGAGTAGGAAAATATTAATCCCAACAGAACTACAATTGAGGACCCCAATTGACTTCAAAAAAGGTGCTTACATTGGTCAAGGTTTGAACACAAAAGGCCCTGCGAAAGGTACAGTCCATGGATATTTTTGAATTGGAGTATCGACTGCCAATGTTGTAAGAAGTTGGCTAGTTAACTTAGTGAGTAATGGCCCCTGAGAAGATTTGGGCACCTCCCATCTTTGTCCTTGCGTCAAGGGGAAAAAGCTTTGATATTAGCTCGGAGGTCAATTAGAAATAGACGGGGAATCCACATCCTAGCTTTATTGCCGTCACATTCCAGTTAACCGGGATGAGCCAGTTGGGAGATCATCCCCACAACTCCTAATCCCTCTTAGTTACAGGACATTCCAGTACAGCTTCTCAGTCTTTAAAATATATCGAGTTAGGCTTTCTCACTTTCGCCTATGCAAGCGCTCATGCTCAGAGAGGATCAAGCACGCGAAAGTTAAGAGCCTCACTGCCACCAAAGCTCAGAAAGCGGGCACCCGGATAACTAATGGTTAGTTATGTGAATGTTACAAGGGTTGGAACCTCCGAAACGAGGCGCCGAACGATTGACATTGCATATTTCTAGGCTGTTTCGCTAGTTACTATGTAGCATGCATGAGTGGGCTGGCCTTGACCCGCTGTCCCCAGAATACGAGGCTGTCTTCTGTTGGCACTTCTGAAGACAGCTCTCTCAGAGTCAAGAGGAAGCTCGTTAGCCGTTGACAGCTCATTGGTTAGCTGGAGGAGATTGAGGAAACACTCGGCGGGAGGGGCCCGGATCCTACGCTTGGCTTTTCAGGTAAGAATTAATTGACAGGTCAACCCATTCCCCTCGTTGAACATCCCCATCGAAAATCCTTGCGGAGATTCACTGGAAACTTGACCGGAAATGCCGCGTGTTATTACCATCATTGGTGCCACAGGCAACCAAGGCGGCTCTGCTGCTCGTTCACTGCTTCAGAATCCGTCTTTCAAGATTCGCGCCGTTACTAGGAATCCTTCCTCAGATGCCAGTAAGGCATTGGCCTCAGCAGGAGCTGAAGTAGTACAGGGAAATGGTTTTAACCATGAGGAAATGCTCCGTGCATTCGAGGGCGCCTGGGGGCTATATCTCAATCTAAACTCAGACGACGAGATATGGAGCAATCCTAACGGACCTACTGAATTCGACCTTGGTAAATCGATCATCGACGCTGCAGCTAGAGTGGGTGTGCCACATCTGGTTTACAGCTCTGGCCCACCATGTGTCGAAATGACGGATGGCGTCGTCAGGATGAAGGCCATGGAGAGTAAGTAGAAAGGAGTTCGATCCTTCCAAATGTTGGTCAATTAGCTGGTCGGTTGGTTAGCTAATGAAGTCTTGTAGTGAAGTACAAGACTGAACAATATGCAAAGGAGAGTGGGAAGTTCCAGACTGTTACACCTATTAACGCTGCATGGTACCTCGAAAACTTCCTTGCGAAAGAGATCGCTCCTGCATTTGGTGGCTTCCCTTTTTTCCCTGACGATGAAGGATATCTTAGTTATAAGGTTCCTCACTGGGGTGGAGATAATAGGGTACCGTACCTAAGCATTACAGATGACTACGGAGACATTGTCCATGGCGTCTTTTTAGACCCTACTCGATGGAAGGGCCAGGTTATTCAGGCCATGAGCGATATGATCACCTTTGATGAGCTGGCGGCTAACTTTGAAGAAAGTAAGCAATTAGACATCTTGCTGTTATTTTTTTTTTCTCCCCATATGTGAAACGAGGGCTAACTAGCCACAGTCACTGGGAAAAAGTCTAGGTTCCAGCCTGTTCTCCCCTCGTGGGAGGCATATGACACTCACGGAGTGCCAGAATTGGAGGACGTCAAGCTCATGTTTGGCTTTACCCAGATCACGGGAGGGCGCTATTTTGGCCCTGAGCCGTCTGATATAACGGTATCCAAAGAATTGAAACGTGCAACAGCCAAAGCTTTAGGCAAGCCAGAAGACGAAGGGACCCTGAAGCCTTCAAAGGAATGATTTCGGTCACGATTTTCTTGATCAAGAGGAAAAAGACAAGAATATATAGGCCAGACACGTCAGTGATTGTGTGTGCCTTCCTAGATATTGCGTTGGTTATGTATCTAGAATCGTTAAAGCACTGGTATAATAAGAAATAAACAAATAAAGCATGACCATACGATCGAAGGCCTAGGCATAACGTAGTTAGCCGAAAAGTTAGTGGCGCATAATCGCAGCTCGAAGCCATACACCCTAGGTTAGGTGGCTATGGACCATGATCGACCCCATACCAAAGCTGGGAGTAATTAGAGTGGAAGTCGATAAACAGTCAATATATGGCGTTTGAGTGGTGATGATCTAGCCTTGTAGATTCAACGAACAATCTTCGCAAGATCTGCTGAGCCGTAGCCTCAGCTCCACGGCCCTTCCGTATCTCAGATCCTGCGGCCAAATATATATATATATTTGGCCGCAGGGTTGGGCTCCACTATGCGAGAAATAGCGCGAGGCAGAGGTACCTACTTTGCGGATGGTGGATCTATAGTGTGACCAGGTGAGAGAACCAGGCACTCTGCGTCTCGATCTATGAAAAATCGAGGTTGAATCCAATATATCTGGCTAGTCTATGCCTGAAGAAATGGTTGTATATTGCAGAAATAACACAACATATCAAGCTAGGTGAAGAAACTCTAGAGGAAAAGGTCAACATATCGGTACCGCTCATATAGAAACAAACGATGATTCCGTTTCTGGCTGTTCAGCAATGGCTTATAGTAACTGAGACGGGCACTTATTACTGCATATGCTTAGGCCAGCTCAGCTTCAAGACGGAACTCCCAAAACGACACTTGATGGCAGCGATGTAGGTATCAAAGAAGAGCGGCCTGTCATGGTAACTCATGGTTCTAAGACGAATGCCAGCGCGCGTGAAAAGGAGTAACCTAATGAGCCAACGACTCGTGAGTCAACGGTCTTGGTAACCACCTCGTAATAGAAACCCGGCTGCAAGATAAATGTCAAAGATGAAGACATGCATGATATCCATTAGTTATCTGCACAAGTTGAAGTTGAGAACGTGAAGTTGGAAACGAAAGACGCTCGTTGGTTAGGCCGGGCGGGCCGTGCCCCTTCACGTGACTTAGTAGCCGCCCGCCCGGACAGGGCCGAGCTCGTCGTCACTGCATCTCCCTTCCAACGACAGCCGACTCAGTCGCCTTGAGTCCCTAGGTAAGGTACTTATTCTGGGGGCTCGCGCGACCTTAGATCTCGAGGACCTCTTGAAGCCCCTTTGTTTTGCAACTAATTAACCATTAGCCAGTTAACTAGTTAGTTTCTTGTGCCAGCCCGGCAATCCGACATCGTCTAGGACTAACCTTCGATTTCAGGAGACACAGCCAGAGTATTACGAGATGAATCCCCTTGGAGAACACCCTCCGGCGGAGGGTCCAACTGTATAAGACCGATTGGCATTCATCCCTTCAGTTTTCTGATGCCGGACATTCCCTGTACCTGCAAAAAAATTGGGCCGAAAAGCCTCCACTAGCAGCCGAATCAACTAGTTATGTCGTCATAACATGCCGGGCTACATAACGTAGCTATCCAAGTTTCAGGGTGACCAACCATATTACATATAGGCCGTTGGAGGGGCATCTAGTAAACAAGTCGCCGTGCAACGCCTATCATCCCGCACCCGCACAGCTATGCTGACAACTGGATCACTACCACATCCCGATAACGTGTAGTGACTTGACGCAGCTAAAGATGTCCCTCATCAGCAGCGTTGGCCGCTCCCTGGCACATATCTACTCCCAATGCTTCATTATCTGCTATACCTTGATCCAGGACATCCTGGTATACGTCTTCGCTACCAATGCTCCTCCGCCGTCTAGTCGTAACAAACGATTACGTCGTCCTCGAGTCGCCATTATCGGGTCCGGACTGACTGGCGTTTCAGCTGCGGCTCATTGTGTTGGCCATGGGTTCGATGTGAAAATATTCGAGGCTCGGCCCAAAGACAAAGGCCTAGGCGGCATTTGGAGCGTATGTGTTCCCCAATATCTTTCGAAGCAGGTGAAATATTAACCGTGCAAGTAGAGAGTGAACTCTACGTCTTCTCTGCAAATTCATAGTATCATGTTCAGATTCCATCCTTCAGTCAAGTGGAAAGATGCGTACCCGAATCAGCAGCAGATTAAAGACCAGATAGTCGAGCTTTGGAAGACTTACCACCTCGATGACAAGACCGTATTTGACACCCCTGTTAAATCGACCAGGAAGAACGACCAAGGAAGATGGGTTATCAACGATGACGAAGATACCCATGGCACCTTTGACGGTATCGTCGCTGCTGTCGGGAGCTGTGGTGATCCAAAAATGCCCACCCTTCCGCACCAAGATAAGTTTACCGGACAAGTGTACCATTCATCCGAGCTGGATGGGTTAGATGCCAAAGGAAAGCGTATCGTTGTTGTCGGTGGAGGCGCTAGTGCTGTCGAAGCCTTGGAGTTTGCCGTTAATGCCGGTGCCGCAAACATAGATGTCCTATCACGGTCGGATAAATGGATTATACCGCGGAACGTGGTCGTTGACGTCCTCCTTGCCTGCAACATTTTCGGCCAGGAGACCATTCTATCCTTTATTCCAGAAACTCTGTTGCGCAAGCTCTTTTATCGCGACTTGGAAGACATAGCCCCGTCTGGCAAGGGATTGTTTACCGACACGCCAATGGTGAACTCGGATCTGTTTGAATTGATACGTGCAGGTAAGGCTCGCTGGTTACGCGGAGACATCCTTTCTGTCGAAGAGGACGGGATCTCCTTCAACCACCGGGCTCAAGGTGTTCCTAAATCCGGACCGGGCCACGA